AATTGCGTAGGAACCGGTCAATGCTGATGAAGGTGCTCCATCGCTGAAGTCACTGGAGTTCTGGCATCGGCTTATCGCTCTTTTGGTTTCTGTTATTGACGAGGACAAGACCACTTATGCGGCTGTCATAAACCAGTGAGTAACAGAAAGATAAATATCAATAATTTCTAATGGAGCTGTCAACTCATCTTCTGGTGTCCAGTATTCTATGGTGTACATCTGTCCGCTGAGTTAATAACAATGCACTGAATCAGAACGATGAACTCTAACGAAATTGTACGTACCACCGACACGGAAAATGAGGGAGTTCATCTGGATGATCAAGCGCTCGCCTAGTTGGAGACCAACAGTAGCTTGATATTCTACCGTTCCGAACTTGTTTTCATATTATCATAGCCACGTACGACCAGATCTGTTAAATAGTGATGCAACTTACCATTGAGTAAATAAGGAACAAGCCGTTTTTACATCGGAACCAAACATTTTCCCATAACCACTCATACGCTCGATTACATCCTGGCGATAACTGTTTCGGGTTCTCCACAATTCTTTTCAAACGTTCTTAAGGTTATGTGTTGCTTTTCAGTAGGCGGTGTACCGTGGTTTTTTTTACAATTATCAGTCATTCAACTAAATCGCCAGTGTCTAATTCACCAGAAAATGCGGGGGTAAATGTTTCTTTACATCTGCTTCGGTGTAGTCCGTAATGTGCTTTCAGAACTCACCCTACATGTTGTTCCTTGCTATTCTCACCAAAGGTTAGAATTGATTGAGCTTCCAAATGTTGACCAGAAATTTCATAACATCCCTAAATTAGGCTTCAAGAAGAATAGATAAAAACTTTGCGAAAACACGCCTCATCTTGGCTCAGTATTTTCATCTTAATTTATATTCAATGTCCTGATTTGCTGTAAACATTTTGTAAACTCGTTTAAAAGCTAAGAAAACTTTGACTGGCGAATTATTCATCGATAACATCGGCAAAATAGTTGTTGCATACACTGCAATTTTTGGATTCTGCGCATCCTCATCTGACTTTAGTTAGCGAAGAAAGTTTAGTATTTCAGTATATCAACTCGATCAAAATGATTGGTTTCATTGAAAATGAACATCAACCTGGGTACTTGTTGTTCCGTGGTACTTCCTTGACTGTTTCCTTTTAGGATTTCTATTTTATTTGTCTTCCTTCTCCGCACGACGACTTTCGACCTATCAATAGCATTTGGCTGCAATACATCATTGGATTGACCGCAGCCGCTCGTAAAATCTACTCATCAAAGTCAAAAAATAAACTGTGACGCAAAAGCAATTACTAATCTTCCGTTGCATTACAAATTCAAGGTATTTTTTCGATCACTCTTACTCCATTTCCTGTCTAACGCATCCTTTTAGTGACAGTTGTCAATAGTCCAACAGCCTATCGTATCAGGCGAACGGGCTATCAATATTCCGACACTTGCCTCTTGGAAACGCTTCAATTTTCAAAACTGAAATGTTTCTTCGATTACGTAGTTAGCTATATTCACATTTTCCCGATAGGAAAACGCCTGTATAGTTTGGTCAACAAATTGGCTCACGCTGTTTTTTCCAGTTCTGCTGGTGGTTGCTGAACACTTTTCACCTAGAACCAAGAGCAGTTTTAATGGGATAAAACACCGCGCGCACTCCAACAGCGTAAAACTTAACCAAAAATATATTGAGTGCACATAATTTTTTTTATCCTTTTAAGTTAATTTCATGGAGAAACTCGAAATATTTTTAGTGGAATATTTACTAATAATAATACCGGCATTCCGTTATATTGAATGTTTTGGCGATTGTACTTGAGTCGTTAAGGTCACTCAAATAGCGACCTGGAACCAGATTGCCGCCTATTTTGTCCATTGTTGCATTTCCTCTGCGATCCGGGTACGTTTGTAGTTTTCATGCAATTATCTGCTTAAATCAGCTTTTATTTTAACCCTATCATTCAGATGAAATGTATTTTATCACCTTTTCTTCCATCTCGCTTCGCCAAATACAGGTTTCCGCAAGAAGTCAATATGGGACACATCAGTGCTGTTTGTATGTGGGAAAGGTTGTCGGATGATATGCGCATTGCTTTGGAAGTACACGCTAAAACTGAAACGCGCTATTGTAAATCTTCTGACTATATGAATTTGTGCTTCAAATTGAAATGGTTTTATAATAAACACGTGGCTGTGGTTCCCAGTATGCAGAGCACCGTACCGGAGTACCCAAGGTAAGCTCGAGCCGGATTCTCATTTAGGGGGTTTGGCGCCATTGATTTTGTTTGAACGAAACATTTTTCATATGACAAATTAAATTAACTAAGTGTACTAATTTATCCCGGGTGTTCATTACATTGTTGCCAAAGTACGATTATCATTTGCTTTATAAATGGCACTATTATCCACAAGATAAATCTTTAGAGACATTCTTCAAGCATTGGCTTAACATTCGTATATTCGTATGTTGTACAATGTTGTACACTTCTAACGAATTGAATTTTAATCTTTTATTATTCAATCAATAGTGCAAGTTCCCTAAATTTCTTGTATTGCACAACAATTGGCTTCTTGTTTTGTCTACACACAAACTTTCCTTTCCTTCTACTCTGGGCCAATCGTTTGTTAGCGAGTCAGATTGCGCCGGTCCAGCTGCATTTCACATGATCTATGCTGCACTCGTTGCATAAGTCCTGACATCAGGTCATTAGCCCCTTTGGTCATGTAGGTTGTTGACTATTATTTGCTCTCTCATTTGTATGTGTTATGGCTGCGAACTTACTCATAGTTTTCCGTCGCTCCTGCTGATCCCGAGAAAAAGCACTTTGGAACACCGCACAGTAAATGCTTCTATGTTGCGGGTTGAGGATAAATGCGACGTGGGTCAACTGTGTGGTGCTTAATTGTATACCTCTATATTCTGTTTGCAGTGTCTTCTGTTTTCCTCTGTTTCATCGCCTTAGTATCGATAGTCAGAATGCGCTCAAACTGACCTTTTTCTGATTCTTTGTTCTCAATTCTTCCCCACTTGAATTGATCTCGCTCAGATGGTTTGAGCCATTTGTCATGCAGTGGTTAAACGAAAATGATGAGGTCTCTATGGATTTTCTTCGTAACGCGTACGAACGAGACAAGCGGGACGGATTTCAACGCTCGAGTGAACACGCTTTGTTCTCAAACTCGGTAGTCGATGTGTTCACTCAGTTGAATCAGTGTTTTGATGTGATCAAAAAGCTGGAATGCCCGGACGCTGCCGTTCAGGAAAGGTTTTTGAACAGATTTTCTCGGGTAAATAGTGAATTTTGATATCCTTCATTCAAACAGACATCTAAGAAATCCATTTGCTGATAACCATGAATAATTAAGCCAGTAAATCGCACCCAAGTTACATAGATCAACTGAGCTAATGTTCATGTGAATATGTGCGTTTGCTTCTCCGAAATGCTATTTCTTGATGACCGAATGCAAAGTATGACTAGGCAGTTCTTTTGCTGATAGCTAGGTCTGCATTAGTATCAAATCTAAGCCTAAACAATGTATTGGAGATAGCAATTGTATTTTGGTGCCATAACACAGTCGGATCGGCTCAGACAATGATATTCTGGACTGTCGTTGAAGCTTGGTATCAGAATAGATTTTTTATCGGTAAAAAGAGCCTCAAAAAGCTAAACCTTTAGGATGTTTGAAACCCTAAAAGTGTCCCCGAAGCAACGCCATCAGAGGTTAAAAGGTCCGATAAGCAAGAAATTGAGTCATCTCCCACGACCAATTCATCCGTTCGGTTCCAGTGAGGTGGAAGACAGAAACAAAGCAGTTCAAGTTTCATTGTTCGGTACATTATGGGATGTTTTCCACATTATCCTATTTTTGAAAACAATCTTGATTCTCGTGGGAAGTTGTTTTAACTTGCGCATTCTTACACAAAAACATTCTTGGAGGAAAAGATACAGCCTATAGGTTTGATGGCATAATTTCTTAACAAATGGGAAAGGCAATTGGTTGCCTTCCGCCCGGAGCAAAGAGAACATTACAATGAATGGCATATATAATCCTCATCTAATAGTTACTGAGGTACAACGTGCGTGGACTGTCATACGTGGGGGCACTGTTTCCTAAGCAACTGCACCACCTGGAGCGTTATTATGAGGAGTTCACTGTCCAAAAAGTTGACTAGCAAATAAAGGAAAATGGCAATGAATGAACTCTGCCGTGTGTACTTAATGTTGCTTGTTGCATTATTTAGAAGTTCAAATACTGAGAGAAACTTACATTTATACTTATATTGATGCAGCTACCTTAGGTCTCGTTAAATCATGTAAAATTCCTCGCCAATAGTAAAAAAATAAAAAGCCTTGATTCGTACAAATTACAAAAGAGGAAGCAATTTCTTTGTTCATTATATGTTTGTTGGTTCAAAGCATCAGTCAAAGTTTGGTACAGAACAGATTGCGTAGAGCGGCACAGAGAATAAGATCTAGTGGTCAAACATGTAACATCTAAAATTAAGCGCGATCAATAACGTTTCTACGCATAGGGAAATGAGTCTCTCATATATTTTTGATGCTTGTGTTCATGTATATGGGTAAGTAGAGTTAATTAGTGCTCCATATCTGACGAACGTGACAGAGAACCCAGTTAGTGCTTTTTGATAATGCAGATGACCTCAATCAGTATACTGAAAGACCTACCAAAAATTAAGCACTAATAGTAACTAACCGAATTCACATAAATTGAGATCACCATAAAATTACACAAAGTCAGAAAAGGGAAACCATGATTTTGGAATCGTTCGGATTAGAAGCATAGCTCACTACTTTTTACTTGACCGCAGTTTATAAATGAAGACAATCAATAAATAAAGTAAATGCGTAGAACCTTTTCGTTTATTTCTGATATAAATTTTTGTCTTTCTATTCTTAGACTGTGAGTAAAGTGCTACTCACCTACGCAGAAATTGTCAAGGCGGATTTTCGACGATGGGTCGGACAACAGGAAAAAGCTTGTATCATAATGAACAACATACAGCAACTACGTGTTCAGTTGGAGAAAGTATTCGAAGCCATGGGTGGAAGTAGTCTATCTGAGGACACTATGACAGCCATGAACGATTTGCAACAGATGCTTCACTTGGTCATCGACGATTTGGCAGCTCAGTACGCACAAGAGCTGCAAGGACAAATTGTGGTGAAAATCAAAGAGTTGAGCAAATTGTTGCACCAGGTATACCCATTTCCTTAGCATTGTTATTTCTGTTCAGAAACTCTGTTTTCTGTTCGCGATGCCGTGTTGTTCACTCAGGAGTGATTCTAGGTAGGAAGGAAACAACCAAATGATCGGATACACTGTTTGCCTTACGTTCTTAATACATCTGATGGATGTTTATACTTGTAAACTAACGTTATACGTAAAGATTCTATGTTGCTTCAAGGAGTGTATTATTCAACGATTATAAATAAGAACATACCAAATTGAGCCAACTTTCTACCATGGTTTGATGAACTCAACTAACTTTTGAGAACAACGGAAACAATAGAGCAGACTGAAACCTAGGTAAAACAAGTCCATTTGAAGACTCGAAAGTGTTTGGTTATTGCAAATATGATAAATAACGCAAATATTAAAATTACTATGTCAGTTGAACTGTAAATTGAATTATTAGTTTCCTCTTTATGCCTCAAAAGTTACGTCAAATGAGGAATTAATTGCACTAGTTCCAGTTCATAGCTTTAACGTTTGATGTTGACGCGAAACGTTGCACGATATCTTAAAAGATAACACATAACACCCCACTGCACTGAGTCAGAAAAACTAATGGGCTTCTCTTCTATTGGTGTACAATCCTTACATTTTCCCGATTACTTTGAGGAATCATCTAGTTTCACAAATGTCGTATCTTTGGTTTGGTGTTTGAGTGAGTTGAAATAAACAATTTGTGAAATTTTCTTTACAACTAATCAATCATAACTAAGTTCCTCATGAATGCAAGTGCTTTCATCGAGCCATTACATCATCTGGTATATTAGGCATACTGAGAGAAAACTTGGGGAGGCTCAGTTTAGGTTCATTTCAATTTGGTCGTAATCAGCCATTAGAAAAATAATCACAAATGACACGGGGATTTTTCCCTCTGGGTGTTATATCTGCTTTGATTAATATCTGTGAACTTCAATAGATTATTGACTATTTTTCGTGATTTTCGAAATTCTACCAACTGTGGATTCCGCTTCAAAGCAAAACTTTTACTTTGAGCACCGGGTTTTTCTTTGAATAATTACATTGTTCCCTCCTTTCGCTTCCTTGTGCCTGATCGCTCTCAGTGTTCGCCCACTTCGAAGACGAATGTGGAGGTCGAGGCCGAGCACATTCTACATCCGCTGATGGATCATTACGAATCCACACTGTCAGCTCTGGCGGACTTGTGTGAGAAAACTGTGCTCAAGCGGTTGCTTAAAGTGAGTCCTAGTAGTGTGCGTTTGGTAGAAAAACTGGGTTGCTGTTCTCCATCAAACTTCGAATATTGTAAATCCCGGTAGGGCAACAATTCCACTCATGGCTGCTTACTAGTTATCTGTAATTGGATCATACAGCATACTGCACATCTGACAGGATGACCATATTGGGTAGAACTGTTCTCGCACACTAATTCCTATAAAAGACGTCAAAGTACCAGTATATTGTGCAAACTATGTATTGATTCAGATGGGTGAGACTTGGGTTATTAGTGTTTGAGCCTTCCTAAGTAAGCAAGTGCTTTTATTAATCTATTATTCGAAACTATTCAATACTACTAAGAGTGCCTGGTTCTTCTGAACATTCGTATTTGCTAATCCAAGCTTGATACTCTATTCAAGTTTCTTTTAAAGATTTTCCCAAGTACCCGATTCTGGCCAGTAGTTATTAAAGGAGTACTATTCCTCATGAAAAACACAAAACGTGGAAATTTCTTTCTTCATACAGCCTATTGTTTTGCACACTGACTGGATTCAGTTGTGTGAAATACATTCCCCTTGAAACTGTCAACGACCGATGATAATTAATATGGTATCATCTTTGCACCTTCCACTATGGAATGAATACATTAGATGATTTTATTTGTCATTATGAAAAATGTTATATGCAAAAAAAGACTTTCTTCTATACATTTTCTCTGATTTGGATGAAAGTCTCACTTTTACTGATCTGATTAATGATGCTTTCGGGTTATAGCCGATTTGGACGGACGATCAGACCGTAATTTCTCGTTGATGACCGTGATTAGTTCGATCGTTTACCCGATTGTAGACACCATGAAAAGCAACAGATTTCGATTTATATTATAAAACAATTGACTTATTTAAAAACATATCTGATAATTGTTTATTTGAAATAAATCCTCATGCTTTTTTGCATTTGGTGCATTCGAAGTCTCTAGGAAAGAAGCTGCTGATGTTTGTTTCAGTCCCACTTTCCCATTACTTGCTTACCTTCCTTTACCTTGGGATGTCACTTATTCTTCATATCTGATGCTTAACTAAGCCAAAACCATTGTCCTCATGGTACCACTCTGTTCGTGTTGCTTATTCGTTCTTCCCCCTATGAGGATAGTGTTTTGTGGCCACAACTGATAGGTAGTATCGGTGTTTTGTCTTCTCTTTTGGTTGCATTGTCATATGTCATCTGCTCACAGCACCCTTACGTGAATTAGCAAGCTAAAAGTCTCTCTTAAATATGCATGATTCTGTTAGAGATGAGTGATATCGTACTAAACAATGATACTTCTACATAGCTACTGGTTCTGCGGCTCCCCTCATTCAGTGTTTCATTCTTAGACCGATCAGCTTTATAAGGCACCAATATATTTTGTCGAAAAATCATCAATTTTTTTGAATTTATGCCATAAACCATCACTGACTTCAAATTTATTAGAAATAACACTAAGAGATTATGCATATGGCACAGTCATGAAGTAACTAATAGAAGGGATGGCTTTACACCGTGTAAAAATGAACAGCGATCAACAACATCTTAAATATCGTGTGAGACAAAATTTTCGGTTTTATATTTTAAATGTGCTGCTATTTCATCAGTGTTCTGATTAAGTTTTCATATTGTTTATCTCGTTGCTGTAGCTAAACGCGTACGTAGTATCAGTAGTAGCTTACCAGAAACCTTGACACGAAGTACATTTGATCAGGAAGCCCGTGATAATTTAACAATAAATGCACTCAACTCTTTTCATTATTTGGATCTCCTCGACAAATGGTCTTTCCTCATTTTCCTTTTTTTCCGTTGTAGGAATTGTGGAAAGTCACGATGCACACACTTGAAAAGCAGGTTGTCCTTCCCACTGTGGCTGATCCTCGAGCGGTATGTCTTCTGTCATCTGATGGCTCACAATGCCTCCCCTGACCTTTTACTTAAGATTATTCCATTCCGCTTTTTACGGCAGAAGTCCCAAATCCTTTTCTTCTGTGTTCTTTGTTTGAATTTCCTTCTGCGGACCTACGATAAATATAACTTAAGTCTCCATAGTCGAAGTCACCGCCTTGCATGCACACTCCAACACGGGATATTTAGCGGAGCGTTTAGCTTCTGTCTTACGTTTTTTTCTATTCCAACTTTTTCACTGAGTTATTTTCTACTAGCCTATCATACTGACAATGGTAAACGACCCATGATTTGCAGAACCTGAACAATGAAAAATAATTGCGGAAAATATAACATGAAAACTCATAGCGAATTGGCACATTTTGAACATTTTCTATGACCACCCACTCATGAAACTCCCACTCACAAATGCGTACTCACTCGTCCAGCAGTACATTTCACAACTTAATTATTCAGTCATTCTTTCACTTGCTTGCTGGCCTGTTTTTAGTTGCGCACTCATCTGGATTCCAGCTTGTATTTGCGGTTATTTGCTCATTCTCCTAGATACTCAGTTATCTATTAAATTGTTTATTCAATTTCTTGGTTACATATGTTACATATGCACTATATGTCACCCTTTATCATTAATTGCTGCTTTTTATCTCTCCATCACCGCATTTGACAACCGAAGCCCCATGGCTTACTTGTGTTTGTGACTCAATGCCGTATACGTCCTTCAATGGATTTTAATAAATATTTGGTATTTGCATGCGCTAGAAATGTTTGTAATAAAAAACAAAGAGCTCCAGATAGCTGCCTCCTCTTATTTGGGACTTGTCAGCAGTGCGTATTTTTTGTTTCCCCGCCAGGACTCGGACCGCAAATGTTCGGGTTGGGAATTCAAACCCTTACCCGTGAGCTAATCCCTAGGCTAATCCAAGCTTGCTACTCCAAAATACTTCGCATTTTAGTTTTCAAAATATGATGCTTTATATTTGGGCCAGAGTTTGCGGGAACGCGTCTTTCAAGATGAATATCAAGTTTCATACACTTTCCATAATTTGGACTTACTTGTACTGTCATGCGTTTATGCTTGCAGCACATATTAATTCACCTGATTTTATATTCGTATCAATCAAAACAACTGATTCTGCTTCGGACTTCAACCTAAATACCTTGCATGTTCACGCATTACATACCTCGTCCCAAAAAGAATTATCGCATCGACGTTCCTCAGATTAACTAAAATTCATTCCGTATTTTGAAATAGTTAACTTTCAGTGAAGATGATTAACTATTTTTCTTTCAGTTGTTTGGTTTTGATAATTATCGCTTTCAGTTTGAGGTTAGTTCCTGAGTATCATCGAACTTCCTCGGATAGTCGGTTAACTTTTATGAAACGAATGTACACAGTTTCTCCGAAAAAAACTGAGACATCAAAAACAGTCTAAACTTGAGACGTTTTTCTTCCAGGGATAATTTTGGGTACACTCACCACGACCTATCGTCAGTAAGAAAACTGTTTATTTGCTAATTTCATTACATTATTGATCACTTTGGTTAACTTTCTTGTGTTTTGCATACAGCTGTTTCTCAATCTGAATCTCCCCTCAACGGCTCAAGCGAAAATATCTAGTGTGTCACAAAGTCTTTTGACTAATGTCAGTAGTCAACTACCGGCTAGTAAGATACTTCAAGTGAGTTCTTTCAACCTATTCAATAATATTTTGCCTTTGATTTCGAACTACAGAATGGTGACAAATCAAGCGAATACTGTTCACTGTTTTCATTTAGGGAGACATAGGTTTCATTTGATCTTGAATTTCGATAGCAAGCGAAACCCAATCAGAAAATTATCCCATAGAATTTCCTCGGTGGAATTTCCGGATTCTAACTGATCACAACAACCATTAACCCACATTGAAACCCTTGGTCAGAGAATCAGTGAATGAGTGTCTCCCATAGCTTCTCTCAGCACCGCAGTCATTGGCGACTTGGTAAGAATGTGGAAAACCACTTTAGATGACTGACTGCTAATGAGATGGAAGTTGCAAAAACGAAAGTAGATAAAATGATTCAAAACCATGGTTGAATTGAGATGTCTGGAAGAAGCGTTGACTGTGATTGGAACTAATAAACATAAATTGTCGAAAATATTAAATCCTTGAATCGGTTAAAACTTCACCACAATTTGAATCTAGAATGACAGTTCTTGAAGAACTTTCTATATATTTTTCTGAAAGTGTATATTCCTTAAAGCCTCCCACTCAGTTCACTTATATCATAAATGGATCAGTCTGAAAGGGATGAAGAAAAACGGTTAAGATAATTTGTACAGGGATGTAGAGTTCTTCAAGATTTTCGGAATTACATGAACCACCATTTCTCTGCGAGTCCGATTCATTATTGATAGTAAAAGTGTTGACGATTGGTGCTTAAAGAACACAGAAACTATCATGAAGTTAGTTTTGTTTTTCTAAACGGAAGAATCATTTCACATAGTTGTTTTGAAAATTAACCCCCACTGTTTTGAAAGAAACCAATATCCTCTGTCCACCTTATTGACCCTAGCAATAAATAATTTGCAGTTTTATTTGTAAAGTGTTTGGTGTGATAGATGACAAAGAGTACTGGACAGCTTGCTATTTCTTTTGTATTAAGACTATTCAATAGTACACACTTTATTGTACGGTTGCAATTTGAACGGCAAGGCTATGCTTTGGCAGTCGAACATCTTATACTTTTCTTTATAATTACTTCCTTTTATTGAATATGCAATGGTACGATTTTCAGGAAGGGGGGAAGCGGCCAATCAAAGGGCTGCCATTCAATACACAATGGGGAAAGTCAAGCGGTAGTGGTGGGATTCGAACACGTCCCCGGGGTGATAATTTGGTGACGTTACCACCGGGCCACCACCGCCCATGGTCTGTGTATTTTACAAGTCATTTTGCCTTTGAACTGGCATGATAATACTGAGGCCATCGTTGATAGAACTTCCAAATAGTGAATGCCATTCAATACAATGCTTAACCGAATGTAAAATTCAAACTGTCTTCATGAGTATTATGTGATCAAGATTGATCAAATTAGTGCAGTTACTTATTCATTCTTCAGTCAGTCGTACTAGTGAAAATTATGGAAAGGTATCCAGTATCACCCTGCTTACACGTGTAAAAATACTCACAGCAAAGGGAATTAGCAAAGTGGTTTACATCACACAGAAGCACAGTCCATCACAATACGTTCATATTACTTAGAATGAACTGTTCCTCCTTTCAACTAGGATTTTGTTCCTCAATACTCCGCTTTAATCAGTTCAAACGGATGTATTAAGAACTCTATCGTCTGCTTAAAAAAATCAAGTTAGATCAGTGATAGTTATCTGACCTTTTTCAAATTAACTTACAATAAACCAGTTTGTTCACGTATTTGCTTTCAGAATTGATCAGCTATCGTTCAAAATTTCATCCATTGGTAAGGCTACACAATGATTTAAAGTGTGATTAACCAACAAACGTATGCCATTGTTTTGCCTTTCTGTTTTAGGACATGTCCAAAGACGCTGGTCTGCCCGAACGCAATCTGACTCCGCGACATTGTCAAATTCTGGATATTGCCCTGGATGCTATCAAAAACTACTTCCATGCCGGTGGATCTGGATTAAAGAACACTTACTTAGACAAATCACCGGAACTGCAATCCTTGCGTTATGCCCTATCTTTGTACACTCAGACCACGGATGCCTTGATCAAGAACTTTGTGGCTACCCAAACCTCCCAAGGTAATACTTAACCATGTAATATGTATGGATCGATCAGTTCGGTAAAGGTCATCATTGAATTTATGATATCAGACCGAGTTAGTTTTGACTTTTCTCAAAATGCCCTGAAGTAAATAGAAACAACTGATATTGTGAGGAGCTGAAAACCTATTCTTGGCGAGTTGAAGACATCAACTGTCAATAAGCGCATCTACTCACATTCTTTCACTAAATTTCACTAAGATATGTAAAAGTTCAAGGGTGAATTTGTCGTCTATATAGCAGATGAAGCGTTAACTGAATATATAAGAAGCGCTGGACAGCTGTTTCGACCTGGTTTGGTCTCATCAGTAGTGCGACCCAATGGGGGATCGAACTTGGGACCTCACATGCAGAACGCAAGCGTGCTACCCACTCGGTCACTGGGCAGCTGATCAGACCGTTTTTTTGTAAATTTTACATTTACACGATATAGCACAAATCATCTTTGCGAGTTTGTTGCGGATTACAGACCTGGCTCATCTCAGAACTATCCTATTTAAAATTGGTTTTGTAATTTTCTCCGATAGACTCCAACAGCATTAGAAAGGTCTAGTGGTCGCGTATGCTGGTATGTAGGAGTAACTGGAATTAAATAATCACGCATAAAGCACACATTGCTCCACTATCACATGACTATTCATTCATTCATACTGAACCATTCAAATGACTAACTATGGGTAGTCAGTAGATAATTATTTCACTTTCGTGGGCTCCCTCTCAACCGTTTTGGTTGGTAGGTTCTTTAAAAGACACGGTCACCAAAAGCGACTCATGCGATTCGTGATCATCTTGGTCATCAATTAACACAGGTCTTCATTTTAATAACTCAGCATCCTCACTACGTACACGTTTATGGTAGCTAAAATGATACAGTTTAGGGTGGTCGTTTAACAAGACTATAAATATTTATTTAGTACATCCATTACAATAAAAATCTCTATTTTTGTCATCCAATTATCAGTTGGGTTGCCAAGTGACTGACGATGCTTGTCTGGGATGAACTGATTTTTGTTGATATCAGTGAATGTCGATAGGGTATAACACATCTTCCGTGAACTAGAATGTAATCATCTTCTTGACCCCATTTCTATTTAATTGGATGCTTTATTCGTTGACTAAGTTTCAAAGCAGCTTGAATGTTTTCGAAAAATACGAAACATATTCGTGCCTTTTTTTATCACTGCTTATTACTTCCCCCGAAGTACACCACAATTGTTGGCCTAAATCTGTGTTCTCTGCTAAAAAAATTCTAATTCATATACGATTATTTTCATTTATTTAGGCCGTATTTCTGTAATTAAATAAACAATTTCACGTGTGTTTATCTAACCCGCGGTCTCGGTAAATTACAATTCTCGACAAAACAGTCATCAGTAATTTTGCAAACCCATTGACCCACTTCTGTTTGCGCAGAAGTGGGTTAATGCATCCGTGTTTCGAATACCGATGAGTTTCGGTTGCTTTATCGGGCATTTGTGAACCGGAACCGCATTGAGTGAAACCGAGTCCGTGAATAATGCTGAAACTGTAAATTATCACTGAAAAATATGAAAAACGTAACCGTTCAAATTCCGAAATAATGAGAGGATAACCGAATTCGAAAATGTCACGTAGGTCATTAGTCTTCGGCTGTGATAAGCAAGAGATAAATGAAATTGTTAAACGGTTGCTCTCCAACGTTCATTTGTCCGCATAATTGCTTCAGCATTGGAAACGTACTGAATGAAAAAGATAATTGCAACAGCAGTATTTTTATGCAGAATCAATTCACCGCAGTTATACGTCATTAAGAATACCTTATACGGTGAATGTGTGATTATTCAAATCGGGATATGTAGCAATGTGAATCCCATTTGTCGCCTTTGAGTGATTCAAAATGATCCCGGTGCTTTATCTCGCGTGAACCCTGCAGGATACTGCATGTATAAGGTCCTAAATGCTTATCGTTATTTACGGATACCGATTTATTCCATTAATCGTGCGATCCAAGGCACCACTCGATGTGATAAGGCACACCAAATTCAACATCTAATCGAATGATCCGTCATTCGGAGTTTGGCATTTTTGACGTTTAAGAAACTACATAATTGAATGAAATTGACCGCGACTTCAATTAGGGATATAATACTACGGACACGTGCCTGTGGTTATGGCGCTAGCTTTTGTCTTGAAGCAAATCGTTGACACTCTACGGTGTCACTGTGATATTCAACGTGATTGGTTTCACCCGTTGTTTTCTGGGAATAAAGAAATTGTATATAGTGTATACACATTTTTTCTTTATGTTTTCGGGTATATTATTTCACAATGAAGTTAAGCCAAGTTTTTACAACCATGACCCATGCACTTTCCTGCACCAGTTTTGGCTGCTGCCTTTTGGTTGTCCATTTTGATAAAACTACAGAATGAAGATTAGAACGTTGTGAGCAAATTCAAGCGAAAGATAGCGAATTTATATAGACTAATGTTACCAGAATAATGAGTAGATATATGAGCTCCACTGTTTGTGACACCCAGCCATATCGCTCAGTGTCTTTAACTATGGGTGACCATGATATCGGGGTCCCCAACCAGGGAGCCTAACGGGACCCATGTGACCCAGTTTCCTGGTTAGGGTTCTCATACCCTCACGCCAGGTCTTAGTTTGACCACCCGTATTCCAACCTCGCCTTGCCTCGGCAAACAGCGCTCGCGGTGATAACCTATCTGGTGACATGCTTAGCACAATGAAGTCGGTTCTGCCACAGCTTGCATATGCAAAATGGAAAAATATTCCATCAGTTGCCGGGTGTTCAAGAGGGTAGTATGCTTTCGTTCTGACTGTGGGGTTCCGGATTCAATCCTCTTTTGGGTTAATGAATGAGAGCCAAACAAAGTTAAATAGCTGCGTCGTACTTCCCAGGTTTCCCGTTTATCCTTTATTTACTCTGTACGTGATTGAATTCACTTCAAAATAAAATACCTTCCTACTTTTATGGACCCTCAGAAATTTTTTTCTGTTAATGAAAAGGATATCTAAAAATTAAGTAATGAAAGCAGAATGCAATAAATTAGTCCCTTTTCCATTATTTAAATGGTTTCAGTTAAGCTCATGTCGTTTTGCAACAGATTGCTTTACCGGTTTTTCCTTTTTCGTTGTGCAAAACCCATTATTTTCTGCAATCGCTAGTAATTATAAAGCCCAAATGAGCTGAATTAATTGTTCACAAATGAAAGTCATTTGTTTACCTTTTTGTCTTCCTTTTCATTCTTTTTTTCCTGCTCAAGATAAACCCGCTATCGAGGACAGTGTGGGCGAAGTATCCATTCAGGTGAATCTGTACAGACACCCTTCTCATGGTGAACATAAGGTCACAGTTACCGGTACGCCGACTAAGTTTTACTTATACCGTGATGGGTTGTAATCTATTAATCCCTGGATATTTTGGGATATTTCGTTAGATGGGGTGAAAAGAAGTAGAAAGCAAAGCAACCTATACATTGAAGCAGTGAGATTCTATGTCACGTTTTGATTGATGTGCCGTGCCACAGAGTTCCATTACACTGGGTGAGATGTGCCTATGCATAATCAGTGTATCATCCCACATAATTGGCATTTAATTGTCACATATATTAACAGACGTGTGAATTAGACTAGAGTTCAATGAGATGGAAACCGTATAGTTTAACCTTATAATGAGACAAATTGCCAGCCGTTGGGTACAAACGTTCACTGCTTCCAATGGAATTTGGAATTTAATGCTCCAGCATATCCTCCGCAACATTCCGTTCCCGGGATACAAAGAGTTTCGGTTTTACTATGATAATCTGAACGATCAGTTAAACATGTCATCACGATGTATCAACACTATTATGAAATCAAAAAGAAGACTCGTATGAAACCATACCGATTCGTGTATTGCACCTGTCTTGTTTATTATTATTATTGTTTGGCTTTATATAGTCCGTAACTCCGAGTGACCACGAGCTTGGGTTACCGATTGGCATGAGTGAATGGCCAGTCCTTTTGACTAAATAGTTTTGCCGTGCATCACATATTGCTGTTCCGGGAAACTCTTGTTGCTGTTTGAGGAATTTGGCATAGACCATGATTAAGGTGCAAGAATAGGACATTGGTAGATGCCAGATTAACATTATGAGATAGAGACATGTTTGACATATTGTTAATGAAATAACATAGACACATTTAATCACACTCCGCCTGGAAATGTGTATTCCCAAGTGACTTAAAATCTCCAGTTCGCTTTTCTTGATGATGAAGCATCAACAAAAAACAAGCTCGGTACTTATTATTTGTTCTTCCACATGAATTTCACGAAAGCCTAGTTACCTCAGAAAAATGTGACCCTCAAAAAAATCAGGTGAATGCTTGGGGTGAAAAAACATCACTTGGTTGGATCGGAAACTATTTTCAAAAAAACTTTCCTTTGTTTTTCATCCAAAACGCGTCGAACCGTAAATTGGCACATACGCATACACTGAGTGCGTTCACGCTGACTTACTTAATCTATACTTTGATGAGCTCGTACTTCGTACTAAGAGCTCTTTCTGAACTTCAAAGAACCTTAAAAAATGGTTTCCTCCAATTTGTTTATCTTTCTCCTGAATATATGATCTCACTAACTCGATCCTACTTTTCCTTGCAATTTGGTTACTTTTAATTATATCTCACTCCGACCAATTTACAGAAGATTATTGCAAATAAAGCAATACACCATCGTGTAATGTTACACCCAAATATATAAATAAATTCCTTCCCGGTATTAAAGATTTCGTCCTAATACAATTACTGTATAATAATTGACTACTGTTCGCACCATACAGCAAACTCACCACGTTAGTCAGAAATCCGTAGAGAAGAGAGTCCCATCATCTATCAACAGCATCACCAACAGATGTTTTTCCTACCGTGATGGTACTCGTTGGAAAAATAAAGATAGTGCTGACTGCATCAGATGAATTTCGAGAATTAATAATGAACTGCTCAGTGTTGGCAGATTTTTCCCACTGAAAATGCATGACCGATGGGTTCTTTATAAACTCAATAAACTCAGTTTGGTATTTGTGGCTATGAATAATACGAATTGAGTGTGAAACAAAGATAGTTACGACTATTGATAGTTTGGAGCTGAGCCATAAACACCGTGCAATTTGGAGCATGTTAAAAAAGAATTGTATTGTTCTGTACTTAAAATCAAGCAATAGTTTATTGAATCAATTATCAATCGAATTTGAAAATTTCATGTTTTTACTTGACAAAACTCTGACCCGCACATGATTAGACTCGAATTCGATCGAGACCATTGAACTGTTCCATCGAGGATAAAAATCACCTTCCTTCAATTTAGGAAATAAGTTACAACCAGTCAACATGATTGTACACGTCATTTTCCAACTAAAACTTCGATCTTATCTGTTTAAATCAAAAGTATTCCAACTTTAAATCATATTTTGTTCAGTCACCCATTATTACAAGTGTTCCTTCTATTTTGACTTCTTCCATCTCGTTCTCGACTGTTTCTAGTGATTGCTGCAAACAACTTAAAATGGGCTACCACTGGAACCTTCCGGCCGTTTGTGGAAGTCGTTTTGGTGGGGCCGCTGTTGGCGGAGAAGAAACACCGGTTTGCCACGAAATCAAAGAATAATGTGTGGTCACCAAAGTTCAATGAGACATTTGTTTTGTAAGTTATTTTATGCCCCAACGACAAAGATCGATGCATTTTACGTGCGGGATGGCAAGCTCATTTTTCGTACAGATTCTTAACAATAATGAGCTATTTATTGGCGTTTATCAGACTGCTCTGAAAATATTCGTTTCATTATTTTTATTGGTTATCCGTTTGCCCCAATGGTTTAGGGAAACATCAATAAAATTTTATCATCGCTTGAGTTTTATTTTCAGTATTACTTTCTTGATTAGAAGAAAAAGGATTCTTCCAAATGAAAGTGCTAGTCAGTTAAAGAGCTTGGAGCTCAGTTCAACTTAATCCTCATAATTTCTTTATGGATTTATTACGTTGATATAAAAGAATGAGGGCATTGAGGTCAAAAGTCTGATACAAGTTCATTCACCAAAGATCTAACTGTAAGTTAAAGAGGCCTCCGAAAACGTTATACACTATAAAGAAAACATAACAATGGGTGAATACCGGAACGATTAAGTCATTCACTAATGCAGTGGCATCACACTTAGTTGAAACAAATCATACTGTGAACGTGGCCAAGATTTTCCGCCTCTTGTACAAAGTTCGTGGACGATTATTGATGCAGGTTGATTGTCAGATGTTGACCACAAGCACAAGCGGTAGGCATTCGTCTGCACAGCTCCCGTCTCTGTGTCTCGGAAAAAATTGTGCAAGCGTTAAAGCTTCCCTGACCCCGCCCCACCCCACCGTCTCACGAATAATCTCAACGATCGGGTGAGTGGACTGACAATTATCTGATTGTGGTGAACCCGATCTCCGGTCTCATGTTGAAGTCGTTTCTAGTAGTCCGTGATGTGATTTATTTTATTTCCCCAAGGTAATTTCATTCCCAGGTATTAATATATATTATGATGTATTGGCATTACTATGAATCATTGAAATCGAGCTTGTTCGCCACATTGCCGTTTTCTTTGAAAACAAGGACTATGGACCGCAAACGAGACACTTAATAATTCAATTCATATTTTTCACCAATGTACATAGAACATGAGTTCACATCAACCCAACTAAATATGAATTCAAATTTGCTCCAACGATTGCCCTTCCCCTGGTAGATTGATACGTTTGTGGTAAAAAAGGCAGTTTGATTCGATTTTGCAAGACGTTACTTAGGCGTTAGTCGTTTCAATGCTCTGTTGTTATATGAAGATCATTTTTTATAAACTACTTTTTACATGGTATATTCCTCCACCGCTTGTATTACTGGATGTCAATCCACGGTTTTTGTTCAGACCTCGCCTACGCGCATTTGATACGAATACGTTTAACAATTCTGACACGTAAGGAACGCGTATTTCTGATGTGACATAGTCCAGGTGCAACAAGTAAACCAAGAACAAGAAAGAATGGCGATCGCTACCTCTAAAAGAATTGAGCTTAAGAGATTTTTTGTATTCTTCACCCGTTTGAATGACCGCTTTGGGGAAAGCAAACATATGGAGTGAACATGGTTCGATCAGCGAAGCAGGGATGTTTTTCCAGGATCGATCTACATGATATATTCCTGAACATCCGTAGCTGACAGTTTCGTACTGACTAATAGTACAAATAAGCTTTTACGTTTGAAATAATGTGGAATCATCGTAGCTCGGGATGCGGATTTTCTGGTTGGTGTGTTCTCCGAGCTGGATGTGTTGTTCGCAGACGTTTCGTATATAGGCTAGGCAACTTCCCCGAAATTGCACCGATGATGTTCCTTAGCGCAACTACGAAAAGTCTGCGAACAACACTTCCAGCTCGGAGAACACACCAAACACGACAAACTTTTTCGTGATTTCCATATATTTGGGTATATACTAATTTTGCGGCAATTGGTGTATACGCTATTCATTTAACGAACTTCAGTGTTCAAATGTTGTGAATGTGATTAGTAGCACGACCCGCAGAACGATTTCTTCAATGCAGCTTTTAGCCAAGAGAAGAAGAACCGGTCGGTATGCATGAATAACGTTTATCACGGGCTGCAAATAGTGAATCAAGAATTTAAACATGTCGTACGATGTTCGTATCTGCGTGCGTTCCGTGGACTCGAATTTGTGTGAAGGGTTTGTGGTTATTATCCGTTCGTTGGTAATCAGATGATCAGTCATGCTTTGTGAAATGGAGTTTAAAAAATCATGGAAAGCTAAAAGGCAGATGGGAGTAGAAGGCGCTAATAGACAACAAGGCTACTCGCAGGAATCTTTATGTATACTCTACCTATGAATGTTGCAATATCAAAACGGCGCAAACTAAGATACGGTAAGAGTTTATACTCGTTTCTGCAGTTTTCCCTTCTGTCATACATGCACAGCATAATTCAAATTAGGTAAAAAGGAGGAAAACAGTTCAGCTTTTTTATTATTCGTCTGACAACGAACACCATAACGTTTTGCCGGTCTTCTCCGCTGTGCCAAGGTCCATTTCTAACCTACTTGTTGTGGCGGTGGCCAAGTGGTTAAGGTAAGCAACTAAAATAGCAACCTGAGTTCGAATCCTACCACCACCACTCAACTTCTGATTTTCCCATTTTTCCCAGGTAATCTTTGTATGGCCGAAACCCCCGTGCTTGTATACTCTATAAACAAAACTGGAACTACTAACTTTTTTATTTATTGAAATCATCTGCCATTCCGTAATCTTTAGGTTTTTAATGCATTAAAGCCGAGCTTACTAGTAGAACTGCGATGGATATTACCGCCTGAGATGATAAGTATTTTAGATACCGAATTGCTTTCATTGTACCATTTGGTATAGATGTCACCTGAGAAGAAACACTAAATCATAAATATCTCTTAAGCTAAGTTGAGGAATAGTTTGGTAGACATCAGCCCGCTTCATGACTTAACATAGTTATTATTATTATTAAGTATTTTTGCCAATCTACTTGCTTCATTTCAAACTTTGTTTCATCACCCTCGTGTGGCAGTCTACTTGGAGCTGGATCAGACCCGGAATCGTACGAGTTGCATTTATGTGCTAAGGATTACTGCTTTGGCCGTGCTGATCGCCTGATTGGTTTAACTGTACTACAGCTGCGCGATCTGGCTGCCAGCACTGCAGGACAGAGTGCTGGAGGCCCAGCGGGATCCCGAAGTGGTGGAGCAGGCGCTGGTAGCGGTGCTTGCGCTTGTCTCTGCAGTCTTGGAAAACGATTGCACCTGGATGATACAGGTTGGACCATCCTACGTATATTGTCTCAAAGACCTCAAGATGAGATTGCTCGCGAGTTTGTTCGTCTCAAATCGGAAGTAAGAAGTCCAAATGAGGCGAGTGCACCTTCAGCCGGATCCGTGCCATCTACTCCCAGAAGCAGATGAACACTCGCCACAGACCACTATTTTTTGATACCACCATGGGACCATTTGGCGCTTTTAGCGCCCAGTTATCAATGATCCTCTTTTTTCCGTCTTCCAGACGTCTTTGGTATACTATGAGAATTTCCTGTTTACGATTTACATGTACTTACTAACAGGAAAGAAAACCTTTTCGCGCCTTGGTAGGCAATGACTTCTACGTGTTTATATGCTTATTTAACAACCTCCTGCTCATCGTATACGAAGTCCAATGTCCACCTCCTAAAGTGAATCTATTCTCACTTCATTTTCGTTCGTTGTCCACTCCATTCAATCCCATAACTACCTATTTCTTTTTCGGTTTCACGGATATCTGCACATACATCTCCGTTGCTTGCTACTTATTATGTATATGCCATTGAATACCAACTGTGATTACTAGGGGAATAACAAAATATTGTAACCCCCTAATCCCACAACTTCTCTGTTGATATATCTGTTGAACTGTGTTCTTATTAGTTATCAGTCAGTCCCATGAGTGCATCAGTGAAACAATTTTTACCCAGATTTGGATTCGTTGCATAATGACACATGCAGGCACTCATTCTCACAGTTATACTTTCCAAGATTGAATCGCTCATTGTAAGGCTTTCCTTGCCCGCCCCAGCTCCCTTCTCTTCCAAACACTTCCAATAATACCTTAGTAACTATGTAATAGCTAATGGTTATCCCCAACTCTTACCCAAACGCTTCCTCAGCCACCTTTTCGATGAAATTACTTCTGGCTGTTCAACCCTGCGTCCCAAATGCCGATCGCTTCCCTGAACAGCAGTCCCAGTTTTGAGGACTACTCAAGCACTGAGCTCTGTATGAAAACATATGAATTCATTTATCTCGCTTCCACCGTAACCCACCCTCCTTCCTCTTAATCAATCATTATTCCGTTTGATTCAATACTTCGATGCTAAGAGCTGACGGACTTAGGGTGTACGAAGTACATTTTTGTACATGTTTTCAGGTCCGTTCAGCATCGTTCCCACTTCCTGTCTTTGCTTCTTTCAATCTATGCGTATGTGATTAAGAGATATCGTCTCGCCCATCCCCTGTGCTGTACATTAATTTTCTCCCCGTTGCCGTATCTAGCCGGCTTGTGCTATGTTGGCTGAAATGAAAAAAGCTGGTTTGTAACGAATAACGCAAATACATCTTTAAGTATGTTCGGGCAAGCAAGTTTAGGAAAATTGGTAAAGCTAACTTGCCTACGGGAGAACTGTACTGGGTTGTCGGAATATCAAAACTCCATGTGCATGAAGGTGTATAACAAAGTTCAGATAAATTCGTTGCCTTGACTGAATCATTTTGATAGTTTGCTGTCAATTCGCAGCAAAAATTGATCAGAAATTTCATCAACAGTAGTTTTGGATTTGTCTATAAAATTCAAATCAATTTACCATGGAAAAGGTTGTTTTTTCACACAAAAGCCTTCTGGATTTCTAAAATTTGTTTGACTCCGGTTTCTTCGCTTCAAATAATGGAGCAAAAATTAGTTAGGTGTTATTTTCACAATGAGCATTTTGAGCAACGCCTTTCGGGTAAGTTTATTAATTTTCACTTTCACGACAGGCGTGTCATCCAGGCTTTTTTAAATTATTCTTCCGTCACCGTGCACGCAGTTCTAAACGAGAAATACTTCATTTTCGTGGTGATTGGACACGGTCGCGTTTTAAGCGTGATATTTTACATCGACGGGTATGTTACCTACAGACTACCCTAAATAATCATTTGAGACTCGAGGTACCAGCTTCTACACTAAATTGATTGCTCTATTATTGTTTACCGTTAAGCTGTTCATCGTGAATTTAGCGGATGTGCTGTCTAGGGATGCAACAGGATTTCTCTACTGTAGTCAGCTGTCGTTCAGAATTTCTAGTTCCTAATTAATCAGCTGTCCGCAATTTCCTGATCGAGCAGTTGCAGTCAGCTCCCTGGAAAACATGAATCTAAATTGTTATCTTTTGTACTAACGCTCGAAAATATGCGTGTTACGGCAGTTGGTGCACTGTATTTAGTGCGAAAGATGTCTTATTCTTCTTCCTCATTATTGGTTGTTTCTTGATACCCCAACTATTTGCTGTTTGTAACTTTCTATTTTTTTTAATCGCTCCAACGTAACAACTTCGATGTTCCACCCGGACACATTGCTTGGTCAACTCGGTTGAGCTTGGTGTTCATTTCTCTTGACCGTTTTCTGCGTTCTGCTTGAATGAGAATACATCCAAGTATGTTCTCTTTCTTTTTTATACAATGTGTAATAACCTGTTTTATGTCATCTATAAACTGTCATGTTCTATCTACTGAATTCGTGCTTTCATTACACCATTGCATCGGTTTCGGTTTATCGGTATCGTTCATTGTTATCGGTTAGAATACGTTCGTTCCAGTTCGAGATTGATCGCTGATACCGTGCTAGAAGTTTCTCATTTCAGTTCAGGATTGCAAAGTTTAAGCTCGTTCATCGTAGACTACCAATTTGCTTTAACCTAATATGCGTATCAAAATTACAAGCGGGTGCAGCAATGTATATGAACTAAAGGTAGGTGGATCTTTCAAGTGCGTATGCTATACGAATGCTTTTATACTGGTCCTCAAGAGATAACCGATAAATCACTTTCAGATACATAAAACTCCATTGCCTTGAATATAAATATATATATATATATATATATTTACGTGATGCAATACAAGCTTCCCATTCCAATTGTTTGTGCATTTCGAGAATATCGAGAGATTTGTGTGTGGGTGTTCACAGCTCACTCTACCATTTGTGCTAACATTTCTGTGTTCGAACTTACTACTTCAGTTAACTATTCGCACTTATTGAATTAGATCAGAAAGGTTTTCATTATCTCCACAAGGTAACATGAACAAATATCACTCATCAAAAGCCTTAGTGCAATAGTCCTTTGTCGATTACGACTTTGTCTTTCTCTTCTGGTTGGTAATGAACGACATTCTGAGGTTTGTTCTCTCTATAATGATCTTGTGCCGTTTCCGCTACACATTCACCTCACTCTTTAAATAATAAACTGTTCATTTTTGTATCAAGTAACGCCATGTAAATACTGTTTTCGTAGGTCAAGTGATCAGTGTGTTTGAGAGGTGGTTCATCAAAACTGATAGCACGCATTCCTCTTCAGTACTCGAAAGTAACTGTGAAGTCAAATGTCAAATAAATGATGCACTGTAAAAACCGGTTTTATTGTACATGCTTATTTCTACAGTCATACGGATTAAGCCATAAATAAATGAATCTGTCTAACGGAACATTCCAGCTCCGATATGTGGAACTCTGTTTTGACCACCCACTCTATCAAGCTGAACGAATTGATATGCTTATGGCGAGTCGCAATATTTGTTGGTACCGCACAGAAGGAAAGTTGCTACGCGTGCGGGAGGGCGAATGGTCCTTAAGTTCATTCATCTCATAGACATTCTGAATGATCTAAAAGTATGAATTCCTCTGTTATCGCATAACCGAATGACCCTCTCGTGGTCTCTGAACCGACTGCTTGCGGTGGCACTTTTCTTCTCTTTCGTTTGAATTTTCCTTTTGGGTGCTTCCACAACGAGTGTGATCACAGGAATATGATAAATAGAAAACTTCACCAAGCACGTTTTCCGCAGATAGAAAGACAAAATTAATTACAATTTCGGAGGCGATTGAGAGTTGAATTCCGTATCTCGCTACAAGCTGCGATTACGTCAATGCGTGATCAATTACGCTCTCACTCATTTTATAAATGAAATAGAGTACACATATAGCCTAAGATAATCACAACCAACTGTCTCCTGATATTCTATTGCCTGAGAATACAAGGTAGTTTGAGTGGACGGCCATATAAAATCATCACATTATTTCATTTTTTAGTCAGATTTCTCAATTTCTTGATCTCTATTCAGACTACATGTTCGCTCTCAATCCGTAGTTCATCCAATTAACCTTTCATTTTACACTTTCTGGAATAAAAGGTTAGTCATTAGGTGTGCTGCAGATGTACCGTCAGCATTATCGTCATCTAACAGAAGCAATGGAGCTTTCCCGGGAATCGTTCTCGATGGAAATCGGCATATACGCATGGCCGACGACTGTTTATAACTGTCTGTCACGTGGCATACTTTTCGCAAGATAATAAACGATAGATCAAAATGGATGAAAACAAACTTTTACCTTACCAGCGGTTCAAGAGTGGTCATTTTCCCGGTTGAACCGATTTTAAAACCGTCCGAAAGCTGATTGCTTCAACCCGTACATTTGACGCATGAAGAACCCAATGGAACCGGTTTCACTTGGCTCATATACACTGGAGTTAATGATACGTTCTACCTTTTGAGCCTCTCCCGGTTATTTTTATACTTGCTTGTTATACACATACACCTTGCATTATATTCCTGTCTTAGCTGTATACCTTTGAAGGAACAGAATTCGAGAAAGACGGGACAGCTACGTTTAGAAAACTGGATTCAATTTGCGTGAAAACAGTAGGCATGCTGATGGATTGGGAAAAATCATGAGATCACGTCTCGGACATGGACATCAGTGGAAGATAAACGGTAATGGAACAAAGTGCGAATGTGTTCTTTCCTGAGTTTAATGTGTTGATTCTATGCCGTTTATAACAGGGATTATGTCACTGCGGACCAGCTAAATAGGTTCTTCCGTAGTTTTTTCTTGCACTACTCATGAGTAGCCGGTTATCAAACTGGAAAACGTCATGGTGGGCGGACAAACAGCTATGCAATAACTACAATAACTGCGCTTCGTACGTGCGTGTGATAAAGAGATGTCAGAAATCAGATTTCTTATCCCAATTGCCTCGGTTATTTCTGAAGTGTGCAGTTGAACACCTTTGCAAATTTTATGGAATGCATGATAAACAACCGTGAAGGCAACATGCGGATATACTTAATATTCGGTGTCCACTAGGGGCATCAGGATTATGCTGTTTATTGATCCAATCTAACCT